CGCCTGGTACCATTTTTTGGGGAGATCACGGCCCGTTGGTAGAAGCCTACGTCAGAGAAGCTGTTGCCGGGGCCCCTCCGTCCACGGCGACGGCGGCCCTATGCGCCGACCAAAGCAAAGCGTTCTAAGGACTGTCTCTCCAGTGGTTAGAGGAGCTGCTACGGCGCTGGCGACTACCAGCCTGGCTTAGGTATGCCCTCATGGCCCTTGTCGAGTACAGGGACGAACATATGTGCAGAGGCGCCTGCGCCAGACCCAGGAGACGTCTACTCCGATCCATCGGCATGGGAGGCACCGCCTCTCTCCTACTATGGTGCATGGCATTCGACCCAAGCATAGAGGCGACCGCGGCCGCCACTGGGGACAGGTGCCCCGCATACGTGGGCGACCTAGCAGCACTCCTAACCACCGCCGAGCAGTTCCTACGCACCGCCATCTTGCTTCCGTGGGCCTCGCACATGGCTGGGCTCTGCGTCGACGTACGCACCTGTTGAGGGCACGTGCTACCAGCAGCGCCAAACAATTTACGCTGGGCGTGCGCGTCCCCCCCCGCGCACATCAAACAGCATTCCAGTGGGGCACCGCTGGTGATAGGCCTAATCCTTGAACTGACGAGGCGGATCCTCACTTACGAACTCGGCCCCGATGGCACTCAGGGCGCGTGGTCCTGGCAGCAGGGATGCGCGTGCACGTTCAAGACTGCCCTTGTCCCAGCCGCCAACCATACCTGGTGGAAGCGCATCATGTGTCTGGTTACAATGGTCATACCTGGGAGCCACAGTCGTCTCGCGCCCGGTAGCAGACGCAGCGCCCCCACGAGGAACTATGACGCCAGCACAGGTGGACGCTATGATCACCAGCGCCTGGGGGAAGGCCATGGGCAAGATGCGGACCAGGACCCTCGCGCTCTTCGACGCACACGCCTCGCCTGGGCGGAGAGCGGCGGCATGGAACGCGTACATGGCCTCCCTGATCCCTTACACCGCCCACTACGTTCCCCCACCCCCAGCACTCGAGAGGCCCATGAAGGCCCAGTTGCGCCTCGCAGTCGGGCCTGCAGGCGCCCATTGGGTACTTGACCACATCCTTCCTTGCGGGCCTGGGCTTCCTGTGTCAGATAGCGGGCTGCCCCAAGTGCTCTGTTGCCCTGGCCCGCAGCATCTCGGCATAGGCGCGCGCGCGGGACGACGTGTGGGGGCCTACACCTGCCCAGCGACGCTCTCTGACCAGGTGGAACAAGCTCGTCAGGTGGGCAAGCAGCAACGCCGCGCCGCCTGCCCGACCCAGGAGGGGGGCCAAAACTTTCACATTACTCAAGGCCGCCAGTATCATCTCCATGCACGCTACCCAACCAGACATATCAAGGGGCCGCCTCCTCGGCCGCGCGCTTTACGCAGCCGCCTGGGCGCAGCAATACGGTACCACGGCCAACGACTGGTTCGCGGGGGTCAGCCGCCGACGCAGGTGGGCGCCCGGACACGAAAGGGAATGAGATATCCTTGCCCGGGCTGCAGACTTCACCGCCGCCTATCACATCCTCAAGTTTCTCGCCAACGGTCTCCCAGGGCACGCGAGATGGCGAAGCGCCTAGGACCGATTCCCCCACCAGTGTATGCATGTCAATGCGAGGCCGACCGCGTCTGGCATACCGCCTCGTCTCAATGCCCGGGCGTCGCCTGGTGTAATCGCTGCCTGGGCCACTGGGCAGGCTCCCAGGCCAAGTGGCTCCTGCTGCCACAGCACGCCCTACCAGAACGCCTCCACGTCTTTGCAGCCACCGCCCGCAGCGCATGCGGACCGTCCTGCGCAGTGCCCGGTCCTGAGCCTAGCCCATGCGGCGGTGACCCCCTGTGTGGCACGGGGGAAGCCAACAGCGAGCACCTGTGGACCTGGTGCCCAGCTGTTGCGCTGGCCTGGCTACTGATGTGCCCTGAAGGCGCACCGGACCTTCTCCCCTGCGCCATCCTCACCCCTGGCGACCATGCGCGGACACTCGCTGTCTTCCCACACCAGGTCTCCTACAGGTACCGCGCCGCTCTTGGCAGACCGTGCGCAGACACTGCTGCGCAGCTCATACGCTCCGGCATGGTGGTCGACCGCTCGTACGAGGCCCCCGCGGAGGACGACGTGGACATCTCCATGCCAGGCGCTGGCGCAGATAGCGTCTGGACGCGCCTTGACAACGCCTGCCTCGGGTGTATGCCACACGGCCTACCGCCCTGCTCTTTGCATGGCCCCACCGCCCTGCACGGCGCGCGGCTGGCCGACCGAGCGGGCGGTGACTGTAGGAGATTGGCAGCTGCCACGGGCACAATCCTGCCCGGCCAGCACCTCGTACACCTCGGGTCCACCCACGCGGCCGCAGGGTGGCTGCCGGCAGGGCCCGGATGGCTCGCCTGTCCACGCGTCACCGAAGACAGCCCCACTGCCCGCTAGACAGGCGCTTTTTGCAGGACGTGCGCAAGGCACTGCCTTATACTCTGGGCCACCCAGCCCTTGACGCACGGACAGGAGGTCTTTGTCAATGACTCCCCTATCCCGGCTCAGGACCGTGCACGGTGGCCGTAGAGGTCACTTTCGACGGCGGGGCCCGCTCAATTGCGGGCAGGGCGAAGGTGGCTGGCGCTGACGCCGCCCTATGGCACCACCCGGCCTTCGGCGGGCCACCCGCAGGAATCGCCTCCTGCGTGGTCGCCAATCCTGGTTCAGACAGTGCTCAAGTCGGTGAGACCACCAGCTGCCGAGCCGGACTGGGCCTACTGGACATCCTAGACGCGTCCACCGGCGGGGCACACGCCGCCAGAATCGTCGGCGACAACCTCGCAGCCGTGTGGTACGGGGCTGGCACGGAGAGATATCGGAGACTACACCTGTGTGCACAGATGGATCAAGGCCTGCGCCCCGTGGCTGCCAAGGGGTGGCGGCTCACCTGGCAGGCCGTCAGATGACGGCTGAACAATTTGCGGACGCGCTTGCCACCCTAGGGGTCTTTTGGCCCGACGGCCTTAGACTTGCGGGGCATACCGCCGTATCCATGTGGATTGTGTGGCACGCTATACCCACCTACGACGTACCGTACGCATTTCCCGATCCTAGCTTAGCCAGGCTCCCCGCCTCCGACATCCCCGCAGCCATTGAGGCACTCGAGTTACGCGCACATAGGGATAGCAGGAACAGAGGTGGTGCCAAATCTCCCTTTTTGTCGCCTTCTCGCCCGCCCCGATCCGCTAAGGTCCGGGACGTTGCCTTCCGTATCCGCTGCTACCTGGACGTTGGGCTTCTTTTGCCCCTTGATCCCTCATGGTGGCCAAGGCCAAGATCGTGGCCCGGTGGCCGCAAGCGGCCCCCTGCCGCCCATAGCCACTCCGGAACACGCTGGGGCGCATCATCTTCAAGTACCGCGAGGCCCTTGGCATCCGATGGACTGACATGGACGACAACAACGGCGGCGGACGTTGGGGCTGGCTCGGCGACGAATGCGGCAAGGCGGTCAACGACCAGCATCACTTCACGTCGACCGAGCACATGAAGCAGCGCAGGCAGACCCAGCTCGCGGAGTACATGGAAGGAGATACCCCCCAGGGGCTACCTGATCCCCAGCTGTTCATGATGGGGGGCGACCTTTGGACCATGACCGGGGGCAAAGCCACGCCGGACATCCCCCGGGTGCAGTGCCCAGGCTGGTGCTGGGACACGGACCTCGATGAGGAGAAGTCCCCCGTCGACCCCTGTGTCTACGAGTCGGACTAGGACTCGATTCCGATCGGCTTTCCGGGGTGCTACGACGGGCCCGGATACTCTCCCCCCGCTGGGGCTGGTGATCAGCAACGACAAAGTACAACCACCCTGGACCGAGACCGCCAGCCCCAAAGAGCAGACGCAGGAGCAACAACTCCGCGACGCAGGACAAGCACTGGCCAGTTCTCTGACCATGAGGGTTGCGTCCAGCTCCTCTCTTGGAAAGTCCGCCGACGTGCCGCCGCCCCCCCCCGGGCCCCCGCCTGCGGCGCTAGCGGCCATTCCCAGGCCCCCCCCCTGGGCGTCCTCCTCTTCGAGCCCTAGCGGCCCTGGGGATCACCCCGACCCTTCCAGGGGCCCATGCAAGGCCGGGGCGCCAGCACCACCGTCGCTGGGGGCGCCCGCCACCGATGAGCGACACATGCAGCTCGCACAGAACGCTGAGGGCCTCTACAGCGCCCCCTGGTGCATGGTCAAGAGCAGCGCGGCGTCGCGCCCCTGCCTCGGACCCGTCCCTGGAGGAATCCCGCTACAGTCAGATTGGATACGACGGCTGCAGACATATGGCAATGAGCTCCAGAGGGTCTTCTTTACCGAGTTCTACGCGGACGTGGAGCCCCCCGACAAAGGCGCACCAACCCGGCAGATCATCGCTAGCAAGACCACCTGCGCTCCAGACCTGCAGGTCCACCCCTGTGTCGCGCCTTGAGGGCAGTGCAAAGATCTCCTGTGTAAGTGCCACCTACAGGATCGACTCAAAGGCCAGCGACAGGGGCAAGGCGAATGCCACCTGCTCGCGCGGGACAAGATGTGGGCCATGGAATGGATGGAGCGCGACATGACGGCCGGCACCCCGAACCCCTTCATGATCTCCAAGGCTTCGCCAACGGTGGACTTCTTGGCTGAGATGACTCCTGTCTGTTTCCCAGCCCCTGTCCCTGGCGCCAAGGTCTCAGGCACGACCGCCGTTGCCCCTCTTGCATAGCCCTGGCCCACTACGACGCCAAGAGGAACGGGCACTTCCACGACAGCGACGCCGCAGTCAGAAAACCAGCCCCGGGCCAACACTACTACAGGGTCGACCGCGCCACGAGGATGGCCCAATGCAACATGGGCGACGCCGCGATCCGGGAACTCTTCTCGGCCGGGTGCGAGAGGGCCGCCTTGTGGGGCACCGCCCTCCCGCCTAGTGGTCTGGGCGCTCGTCTTCCGACGCGGCGATCACGACAACAAGGCCGGCGCCCTGTCGGCGCCCGCGCAAGGCGCGGCAGCGGACCGACTGCTCGCACAGGCCTCGGCCACACTGGAACGCATGATCGACGACCCCGACCGACCCAGCGCCAGCAAACGCGTGGCCGAATTGCCCCTGACGCTCCAGCAGGCTGACGAGTCCCCTGGCTGCGTCTTTCAACGACTGCTGCCTGTCCCGCGGGAGGAGCACCTGGAGCGCACCTGCGACCTGCACCGCGCCGACAACGCTCAGCGTCGCTGCGTGCTTGCGACCTAAAGCTCACTCCTCACCCTGTGCCGCCTGGCACAGGTGAGACGAAGGTCACGGCCTGCATAACGGATGCCTGCATGTCGTGTCTCGCCCTGGGACGGGGCGCGGGGTGCCTCGGCGGCACCATGGGCAACCTGGCAGAGCAGATCGGGGAGAACCTGGCCCGGGACTGCAATGACCTGTTCCCGCGCTTGGCCGCGCGCCTCGCGCACGAGGACGAGGTAAAGGGCAGCGCCGCCAGGAAGATCACACCTGTCGCCAAGTACGCCGAAACGCACAACATCCTGGAAGGCGAGGTCACCGCGGACCACGCGCACTGGCTCCATAAGTTTCGGGCGGAGATTGCGACCGAAGCGAAGCTCACCCTGGCCGCGCGCGAGGCGGGAGCTGACCTTCGGGACGAGAAGTTCCTCGTGCGCCTCTTGGACGAGGCAG